TGTTTCGGAAGCCGGCATTGTTGGATCCTGCTGGCGCCGTCTTCACTGCCTCTGCAGTTGTCTGAGGCCGGGAAGAGGTCGATGCTGCTGGCTTTGCAGCCGTATCGGTGGAATCCATCATGAGCTGTGCGAGCTGCACATCAGGCTTTCAGAGCATGTGATGCATTGCAGGTCAAGTGGTCTTAGGGCATATGGGAATGTTGCCGGAACTGCAGAGGGTAGCGAAGCTGAGCTTGAAGTTGGCCGTCGTTTGAGCGTTTGTCGTTTGGTGGATGGCTGAGGGTGCCGGTCTGCTGTGCGCTTTCGTTTCTGCTGTGCGTGGTGAACGGGTGGACTGCGCGCCGTCAGTCTGCCGTCCCTGTTTCGAAGGGGAGTTGAACGAGTGGCTGGATGGATGGGTGAATGGTAGGGTGGATGGACGTGTGGTGAGGTGATGGATGGAGCCAAGGAGCTGGCTACCGGCTCAGTCTCGAGAAAGGTGGAATTCGTGAAATGCTCGAGGATGTGCGCGGCAGCAGACCCCTTCATGCCTGCCAATTGGCGAAAATTCGGAGCCGAATTTCTAAGCGCGTTTCGCACTGCACCGCACCGCACCGCACCACATTTCTCGACTCCACCTCTACCTTGCCTCGGCTCACCGTCAGGAGGGCGACCATGCGGGCAGGTGCAACAGCACAGCGGAGGAAGAAATGCAGGGGGCGTCTCAGAAGAAGGAGCCAAGGCCGCACAGTCTGTCAGCAAGGTGAAGTAGCGCAAAAGCATCGGGACCAGAACGAGAAAGCCGCGGAGACGCGGTCAGACGAGCAGACCGCGTCCACACACTCGACAGTACACAGAGGACGCATTGAGCTGGGGTTTTGCAGGGTGAGATTGCGGGTGCATGATGCAAGTACACAGGGTCGTATGATTGGAGGGTCGTGATGCAGTCAGGCGCGAACGGGAGTGGAACCAGCTGTATTGGAGCCGAAGACGACTTTACATGGCGTATCTGCGTTGGCGGAGCAGGCGATAAGAGGTGCAGGCAGAAGAAGGCGGCAAGAAGACAAGACGAGAGAGAGAGAGAGAGAG